AAGGACCAGCTTAAACCAGCATCCCAGCGTCAAAACATACCTAACCAGCATATGCTGGTTTTTTCAACAGGGAATAAACAGAACACAACAGACCTTTGACTTTTAAACAAGTTTAACCTTTCCTACAACTACACAGCTGTTTCATAAAATGTCTTATTTCTCTTTTCTATTATTATTAAAGAGGAGAAAAAGCGGTTGGAAAGGTGCTTAAATATGCTGTAATAGCAGCTAATAGCTTAAGAATATAAGAAATAGTTCCCTTAAAAATTCAGACATCATTTACTCACCCTCGAGTCGTTTGTATCCAGTATGAAGCCTGTATTTGGGGACAGCGAAGGATTCAGAGGTGAAAGAATTCTTGTTCCTGTCCTTGCAGTTCCAATCCAAACCCAAATGACTTTCTTTCTTCTACGGAACACAAAATTTGATAATTTAATGAATATCCAGTTGGATGGATTCATTACAACGGCAGCACATTGTGACTCACTTTAAGGCTCAATAAAGCACAAAACTGCACCTTTTGCATTTGTGCAATGACAGAAGAAGCATGAAAACAATGTACTGGAGTGTGAAGGAATAGATGATTGGGTTGTTTTTCACCAAAACCAATCAGAACACCTTTAAAATGAACAGTGAGCTGTATGGACTTTGTTGGGTGCTTTATTAGGCATTAAAGTGAGTCCCTATACCACCATGTTCTGCAGAAGAAAATAAGTCATTTAGGTTTGGACTGGAGCTGCAAGGAAAGCAACAATTCCTCTTTTACCTCTGAATCCATCAGTGCCCCAAAACAGCGAGTCAAACAGACACATAGATTTTCATTTCCGCAAAAAAATAAAAAATACCAATTTGAATTCAGACACCTAATTTTTTTTGCCATAGGTCGTTTCCACAATTCACACAAGTTTGGTATGTATTATCCAGAGATAAATGCATACCAAATATCCAAATTTAGCCAAACTTGATACACATGGACATTCTTAAAACACACACACCACACTGAATCAATGTAATCATGAGATTCTGATGCGAGGGGTGCTATAACTCTGATCAAAGGAGTTTAAGTATGACACCAAAACAACTGGACCCACAGCATCCAGAGGATTAGGTCTGTCAGATTTGACTATTTTGGTCATGTGCTTGGACCCCAATGATTGGCACATTCACTCAGAATGATTAAATGTAAAATACAATGTTCTGTGTGACAAAGTGATTTTCACATTCATGAAAGCTTGCAAAAGAGTCAGAATGACTCTGTATCTGATAAGCCCACAGTGTTTGGCGTTTAAATCATGTATCTCTCTAATGTCAAGTATTTCACTCTCAGATTTGACCAGTTTTAATGAGAAATAAATCAGGTATTTTGTTATATAAATATTTAGTATATTAAAATAAATAATTGAAATATGTTATATTTGATCATATTCAGACTTATTCTGAAATGTATGTTTCTAGTTAATTATGGTAAGTCTATGTTATTACAGTATCAGACATACATACGAACCCTTAGCATTTGATGGAGAATGGTGCACATCAACTGGGATCTAGCTGTCGGAGTAAATAGGGATGTAACGATGCACCCCAAGCCAGTTGAAAATCGATAAAAATATGTGACGATTCAGATTGGTTGAGATGTTAAACGAATCGCGATACCGTTGTGGGTGGGAGTTTATATGAATGTTTCTCTGAGGGGAACTGACTGTCTTCGGAAAAGTTTAGATGATATTTTATTTTCATCTCGTCTCTGAATAATGCATATTATAGTAGTGTAGCACTGCTTTGTGTACAGTGGTAACCAAGGAAACGCTGTATTACTGCTGTTCCATCAGCGCCACCTGCTGGCAGAGAGTGAAACTGATTTCTCATTTAGCTCGTCAGCTGTTTTTGTCTCGTTCAGATGTTTTATGCAGTATAGTTTCACAACGCTAAAGTCAAGACCATGTGCTTGCTTCAAATTTCGAAGTTATACGATCTAATTTAAATCAAAAATTGGTAATTCTGCATGTATGCAGCGTGTTTATTTGGATCATGATTAAATGGAAATGGAAAGAGCACAAGCAAAGCCTGTTTATATAAGAAGATATTTGTTTAAAAGAAGAGATTTATGTTATTTGTATTAATTATTTATTTGATTTGGGATTTGTTTTAAAATTTAAATTCAGTTTTGTTATTTGACATATTTCAATTTCACAAAGAAATGTGCAGCATTTTGTCTGAGAAATAATAAAAGGACACCTCATTTATAATTTGTCTTGAATCTCATTTTGTTAAAAAAATCGTGAATCGTATCGCATCGTGAAATGAGTGATTCGTTACATCCCTAGGAGTAAACAACTTTTAGTTTCAATTTAAAAAACTGTATGTAAGTTTTTGAAATATCAGTTTCAAAATCATTATGATGGTACACTGACGTCAAATAAGGCAAATGGCTTTTGTTTCGTTCCCACGCTCTGGGAGTATGTAAGTTTGGTGAGCAGGTACAAAATTCTGAGACAAGGGTGCATTGCCTCATGAGAGTGAATTCAGCTCACTTAACTGTACTGGGCTACAAAGTCGCAAAAATACACAAGCTACATACAGTAGCTTTAAGGGTAAGTACTGGGGATGTTCCAGAAAGCTCAGAGTAAACGGATAAATCAAAAAAGCTTTCAATTCCAGGTAACCTTCAGAGTAAGTAAGGAGACACAGCAAGGTACTCTCTGAACATAACCTGCTCCGGGCAGGTCCAGGGATGGTTTATTTCAGAGGTATTTGGCGCATACGTGATCTATTGCTGAGGCTCCAGTGGGCCATTTGCTTTTTTTCCCCAATCAATCTTTCCTTTTAAATTTATTTTGCATCAAACAATAGTTCTTGTTTACAGTAATAAAACATCAAGTTCTGCCTTCAGTAAAGTAAAACAGAGAAAGATTAAAAAAATGATACACTTGACAAAAACCCAGGTTCAGTACTTCAGTAAACAGGCTAATGTATGGATTACATTACAGTAACGGTTCCCAGGTTCATTTCCGAATCAAACATAACTGGAAAATTACTCGTGGTTCAGTGAGGGAGCCAGATGTTAGCTCAGTAACAGATCTGAACAATTCAACAGAGAAACTCTGACTAACACGGAAAAGCTACTGTTATTGTGTGCTGTGGTGCTGCATAACGGTCTGCTAGGACATAAGGGGAGATATGATGGCTATTAAAGGGACAGTCTACCCAAAAATGAAATTTACAACTTCATGTCACACAGAACCCATATGATATTCTTCTTTTGTCTTCTGCATAAGAAATGCATACAGGTTTTGAATGACAATTTGGGTGAATATCCCTTTAAGCTGTTGGAAGATGAACACGAAGCAGAGACCTGTGTTTCTTTACATGGTTAAAAAAAATAAAAAGCATATGGGGCCAGATCCATTTGTCCTGGTCTTTGTGGGGTCCTTCATTATCGCATGCAGCTCTTGGATCTCTGCTTACCTTGAACTCTAAGAGGTTTTGCATCTGTTCCATCTCTGTGGTCAAAATGTCATCATCATCATCATCATCTTCGACGATTTCAATCTTCTGGAAGAAAGTTTCATGTTTGAGTTACTGGCAAAGATTGGATCAGAGTTAACATTAAACTCAATAAAAGTTCATGAATATGTGGCTCATACCACATGTTTAGCAGAGGTGGAACCATCTGATTCATCGTTCACATCATCATTTTCCTTTAGATATAAATCACTGGCTCCATCTTTAAAATAAGGCAATTACTACACATTAAAATGGCTTGAACCAGTATATCAACTAGGGGTGCTCCGATCAGGGTTTTTGAGGCCGATCACAGAAAGCATTATCTGCCGATACCGATACCAATCTTTTAAAGCCTTCTTTTGATCATTTATAACTATTTATAGCTACTTTTCTTACGTTATCACAAACGTACCATTGACAGAAATAGTCAGCTCTACTGCCTTTCCTTTTGCATTGAAATCTTTATTACAAGCAATCCTGCGGTTCATAAAGAATTTTGTTTTACTACCTCCACGAGTGCCATCTATATTCTTGTTTATCTAAAAGTGCTCTTTTCCTTTAACCTAGCCAAAAAGCCATATGTGTTGACTGAAACACAGTAGACTTTAATAATATGCATTTATGGTGTAATTACTAAATTTTCGTGTCAATCCATGTTCATATTTACTGCAAACAATGTGCTGTTACTTTAATTCAGCAATTGCAGCGCAGCAATAGACTGCTACAGACGCACCGCTCCTGAACGCACTGCCGGACCAATTGTGCAAGTGACAATTCCTGTGTTAACTGTGCAGCATGCAGCTCGCTTATAGACAAACGCGATGTAGAGATTTGAAGCCATTTGCGTATTTTGAGAGAGAGCGTGCGCGGTCATTCACTCTTGCTGTTTGTGAAATTACGTCTCACACAAGGTTTTCAAATTACTTTATAAGTTATTTAATGAAGAAATATGAAGGTGAGTACCTCACCTTCAGCATTATAATTATTTTACCCGCGCCGGACAGAGACTGAGACAGTGCCGCTGCATGTCGTGCCAAACCTCTCACGGCAGCGTCATCAGCTTGAGATCGGTTTTTTGAGATCTGCCTTTTTAGAGACCGCCGATCAATCATCCCAATGTGATTATCGGCCGATAGTGATCGGTAGCCGATCAATCGGAGCACCCCTTATATCAACAATGTAAATAAAAAAGCCAACAGTGTGATCTCATTCGTCAGCAGCATGAAAATCCTTCCCACCGTCAGACAAACAGAGTGACACGATGCCATTGTGTTCGCTGGCCTCTCCTAGTTCAGGGGTCAGACGCTCGTCTTCGAGGATGTGAGGGGAATGAGGATCGGTCTGATTTGGGAACGCGACCGGCCCTCCTTTAGGCGGAGGGATTTCAATGCCCATCAAACGGTACTTCCGTCTGCGGTTACCAATCCACGTCTGTCAAACACAGATTTTAGAAAGGCTTTAAGACTTGATTGATGGTGTTATAAAAAACAATGTATTTCAAGAATAAAATGCATCATATCTAGGGCTGTCACGATTATGAAATCTGGCTGATGATTGTCTAAAAATAGTCACGGTTATTGCGATTAATTGTCTGTTTCTATATCATTTTATTTTTAAGATTTATTTTTAATGCTTCTGTAAAGGACTAACGGCCGCATAGCCTATACACTGCAGAGTTTAAGGAGAGACAATGACACTTAACAGTAAAGTCATATCTAAATATGTTCTTTTCATTTATGAAGATTTAAGTATGTAGTTTATGCACATTTGTTCAAAACAGCCTGGCAGATTGTTCACAAGATGTGGGCAAAAATTTTGTATTGTATACAGGAAGGATGCGCGTTCTTATCATTCTTCTGTTGCGCTGCTTGTCTATTTCTCTTCAAAGCACCAACTTAAATGCTTATTTTGGTTTGATTGCTTGTGTCACATGAGAAAATAAATAATTTTGCCTTACTGATGCAGTAACCTATTTAATGCGGGTGCGGTTCAGGTCGCGGTCTTTATGTCAAACGGGTCGGGTACAGAATTAAATTGGTGCTGGCTGCTGTCGGATAACGGGTCGGGTGTTCTGTTGTGTACTGTGGATGCAGGTTTACCTAACAGGACCCGTGCAGGACTCCGCTTTAAACTGCTTTGCGTCTCTCTGTCAGATAACCTCACGTGCATGATGCGCCATTTACGGGTATTTCCCGGTATTTCCCTAAACCGACACACATCAATTTATTTTGATTTTTTTTTTTTTCAGTTTACGAAAATGTTTTTTGAAATATCGAAATATCGGAAATGTGTTTAAAAATCATATCACCGTTATTGAAACAAATTATATCGCGATACATATTGATATTGAATTATTGTCCAGCCCTAAGGTGAACCCTAAATGCGAATCAGAATCTCTAAATAAGATTTGGTGAAATTGTACTTTAGATTACAATTTACAAATAAGCAAACAATTAGTACTGACATCGTTAAACTCTGTGTGAACCTCATACTGGTGGATATTGGCTTAAAACACCTTAATAGAACAGTATTATGGACAGTAGCACTTAAAGACCCATTGAAATCAAAACTCAAGTTTTGCTGCTTTTGGTCTGTGTCTTTTAGCTACGTTCATCTATATGTGAGTGTACTTCCAGGCACTGACTAACTTCACTTTAACTCATATCCTCTCCTCTGGGAGCAGGGACCCAGTAATATGATGACTCACAATGCACTGGTGAAATTCTGTCCTATCAAATGCTTTTGAGAATAAGATGTGCTATTACTATTACTTTGGGCTCATTTTATAATTGGGGGTACATTTTGCATCAACAAAAAAAGTACCATAACAAATATGCTTTCTCAAAATGACTATCGGTAATATCAGTTAATATATTTCATCAGTGTATCTGCTAGTTGCCATGCGCAATCATTAAAGGATGTGAGAAGCAGCGTTCTAGTTTTAAAACTAAATAAGACACATTGTTAACTGCTGCATAAATTGTTAGCTCATGCACACACACACATCCTAGTCTCCTCTGACACATAGAAGGTTAAATTATGCTAAAAGCCAACGTGTGGCAAACAACTCCTCATCAGTGGACAGTCACACAATATGGTCATGAGACGGCTCTACAGGGTAACTCGTTAGATTCAGTTGATTTTTTTAGGTTAACCTCAAATTTGAATGTATATTTTAATTAAAATCATAAAAATATTGCAAACCATAACAATGTACCCAACATAACTGAAGGTCAATATACTCCTTGACAATAGCTTACTGTAGATACAATATTGGGGGGGATGAGAGGACTTATATAATTATATGTTCAAAATGTCCATCACAAAAAAATAACGTATCATAATACCGGTCGCATGGTGTGATGATGATGAACCATTTTTAGTCGACAGGACTTACATGGACTTGGACACATGAAAATTTTCTTAAAGTTCAATTTCAACTTGAATTTAACCAGTTATTACTCAAGTCCCACTCACTTCAAAAACTACACTTTAAAAAAAAAAAAAAGAAATTTAATGGACATTAAGGTAATTGCATAGGATGGACAAAATATTTGTGTGAGATTATACAGTATGTTTTCCCTTAATGAAAAAATAACATTTTCATCAATGGAAATGAAATGTACCCTAAATTTTAGAATGACTCTTAGATCTAACCACAAGAAATACATTCAACAAACTAAAACAGCAAGCAGACAGTAAGTTAGAGACAAAGACAATCTGACTGAAAACCACTGAGACTCATCATTTTACCTGCGTGCTGCTTCCTGGTGTTATATTTGGTCACATTTTTGTATCAATAGTATACTTAAATACATACACAGAAATTATTCTCTCAATAGTGTGACATTATTTTCATCAAAAGTCTGAGGTTTTATCCCTAGAGGAAACGTGCCATGTAAAGTAATGGGCAGTAGTTTTGATAAATACCACTGGCATGATGCACATTCAGATGAAGACATTTTTTTCTTTTCTGTGATGTTGCATCTACTTAACAGTCGAATGTCATATTGGTCAGAGAAACAAATACTACTTAGGGAATCAGGTTACTGTAAGAAAATGCTTCCTTTTTAGAATTATGAATAATTAAACTACGTTCACGAGGGGAAAATTTTATATTAGTTACATCAGGGCAAAAACAATCATATTTGTGCCACTGTATTACGCAGTGTATTTGTTTAGATATAAAAAAGTGAAGAAAACTGTCCAGACTCCTGACCTTGATGATTTCAGTGTCCACACTGAGTTCACTGGCTGCCGCTGAGATCTTCTCTTTGCACAGAGAGCCCAGGCTGGTCATGCCTTTATCCCAGTAGCGCTTCAGCGTGTACAGGTCTCTGTCGCTAAACTGCGTCCTGTCCTGCAGCTTAATACACACTACACCTTTTATTAAAGCCATCATCAAAAACTGACAGTAAAGTGATCTCTGATGCGCTAGAGAAGAGCGGCTGCACATTTGAGGCACTCACCGTTCTTTTCCGCGAGTTACTATGAAGCCAGGGAGCCGACATGTTACTCGTCACCTAAAGAATACAAAGGAAGAAATTCAGAGAAAAAGAAATGCAGTGAAAAGGGCAGACAGCAACAAATGCACATGTACAGATAGACTAAAAATAACTGCATACTAGAGCCCGACCGATATATCGTTTTGCCAAAATTATCGGCCGATATGAGCCTGTCGCCGATATATGTATATATATATATATATAACATTTCTGTCCCCCTCACTTCTGAAATGATGGCTACGCCCCTGCAACTAACACCCCGTTACTTTGTGCATCGCACTCGTCGCAAGTTTATTGTTAAATTGTTAAATGCCCTTACATATCTCTGTCACCATTATAAGTGTTTGATCACCACATTTGAGTGATCATTGCAAAAAATGTGTTTATGTATATATATTCTGTTTATGTATATACTGTATTCTATATATAGTAACAGTCAAATGTTTGGACACACGACTGGGAAAGTGTCCAAACTTTTGACTGGTACTATGTACTATATACACAAAGAATATCGGACTTTTTTTTACTCCCTAATATCGGTATCGGCCCCAAAAAACCCATATCGTTCGGGCTCTACTGCATACAGTTGCTTTAAAGGGATAGTTCACCCAAAAATTAAAATTCTGTCATCAAGTTGTTTCAAACTTTCCTCTGTTGAACAGAAAACAAGATATTCTGAATGATTCTGGATCGATTTTGAGATTTTCAGAATGCATCGTGATTCTCTTTCGATTCTGAGTTGCTTCTGCTTCCTTCCAACTCCTTACACACACCACTTGAATCTTCCATAAAATAATCCTTCATAAAGTTTGGAAAAGGTTGAAGCGAATTACAAGGGTATTTGCAGTGGGCTGTGTTTACATTAATTCTGCATCATAAAAGCATTCTGAGGTGCAGGTACATTTGACCATTTATGTGGATTGTTGAGAGAATCACGATTCATTCTGAAAATCTCTGAATCAATCCACGAATCGCGATGCATTGATTTATTGTCCCAGCCCTAAATCTGAAGAATGTGTGTAACCAAACAGCTGCTGGTAGCCATTGACTTCCATAGTAAGGAAAAAAAATACTATGGAAGTCAATGGGGACCATCAACTGTTTGGTTACACACATTTTTCAAAATATCTTGTTTTGTGTTCAACAGAAGAAAGAAACTCACACAGGTTTGGGTGAACTATCCTTTAACTATTTGTTATTAGCTATTAGTTAACTTATTACTAATTTATGTTTTCTTTTTCTTTTTTTTAAAAGGAATGCGCAAAATTAACTAGTATTGAGAGAGACAGAGACATCACCAAACACAAATGTGACATTTTATCATAACAGCTTCATGTGAATGTTGTTTTAAGTTCACTTGAAGTTGTTATAATACTTTTTAATGTTCTGTAATTATTATATATGATGAAATAGATTTGGCTTTCTATTATACTGTAATGTTGAATAGCTATAATGACTCATTTTATCCCCATAAACTGGGAAAAAAATCCATTTAATAGGTGCACAAATATCAGTGATGCTAGCCTTCATTCATTAAAGCAATAAGCCCTGTGAAGCCGTGGTTTACAGTGAATTTATAACAGCTAAGGGGCGTTGTTAGGTACGACGTGAAGCCCCCTTAGCTGTTATAAATTCACTGTAAACCATGGCTTCACGGGGCTTATTGCTTTTATAAAACGGTTATTCCATATACGTAGTTAGGTTTCACAAAATAAAACAGAGCAAATAAAGTGTAATGATATTAATAAAAACAGTATTCTTCCACCAAACAATGTAGCTCCTCAGAAACAGTTGTGGTTGCAACAGACAAACGTAAACAAAGGTGTATGTTACTTTGTAGAGTAATTTACAACAGCTTCGAACGCGGCTCAACCAATCAGAATCAAGGACCGGAACTATCCGCTTTATAAAGTACTTAATAAAACTGTCATTAAACAAATAATTAAAATGTATCGTCTCAATGTTGTTTTCACATTTTACATTCAAAGTGAAAATATATTCATAATTGCACATTTTAGACTGAGGGGAGATTAACTAAAGAAACCAGTGCAATTTATTAGTTAATTGTTCTTAAATGATGGACATTCCTAAGTGTTAACCTCATGAGAAAGGTCAAATTAATTTTGTATCAACTATGAACTGTCCCTGTCTATGTATTAATGTAACAGCCATTAATATCAAAACTAGGGCTGAAACACCTCAATATTATCTATGATTTCCGCGATGCAGAAAATGTGGACGGAATCGCGGAATCCAGTCATATAAATTGAATTTACTGTATGATGCGGAATGTCATGGAATTTGTCAAATTTGGATGAATTAATCAAAAGTAGGTCAGTACACTTAAATAGAGTCGCAATATGGACTAGTATCTGTAAATATTCAGCCGCAAAAATACTATTTAAATATGAATCCTGCATGTTCTGCGTGTCTCTGTGTATGTAAATGGCACAGACGCGCGGGTGTTGTTTTCTACACATACAAAGTGTGCGACGCTCGCGGTGATTTCAGCTTCTGTCGCCTCACTACATGAGGACATAAATACATGAACAACATCTCCAGAACTGCTCTGACTCCCTCCGAGAGTCACTTCATGATCATTTAACAGTTTAATTTGAGTAAAACTATCGCAGTGTTTCCCACAGATTTGTTGAGGTATATATATGCAAACTCATTCTCTGGCAGCAGGAGGCGCTGTTGCAAAAGATTTAATTTTTTGCTCTAACCCCTGACTACTACAACAATTATTAGAACTTTTGTTTAAAAGAATAATCACAAAATACGCTATTTCTTTCATGTTTTAATTTTAATAGTAAACCTTTGTTTGCCAAAAAAAATAAAGAGTTTAACTCTCAATTTATTAAAAGATAAATTAAATAGATTTATGCCTTCATTTGCACTGTACTGTAAATTAAAACTAACTGAAATTTCTAGTGTCACATAGGCCAAGATATTTCAATAGGCTATTGAACTAAGTGTGCCTGTAAAAGGCTATTAGTGTTATAGTTTCATGAAAATAGTTGCAGTCTTCTTAACAACTTCTACAATATAGCTACGAAGACAATTAAATTATTTACACTTATGATATACATTTTTTAAGTTAATCCATTGATGTGCATTAGATGATGAATTGAATAGTCACCTCTACTATTGTAGATTATGTTTTAGCCATCAGAAAAGAATTAATGAGGAATTATGAGAGGTTATGCTATTACACATACATTTCTAACATGTAAATTATTGAAGCCAAATACTTACATTTCCCCAAGCTGTTTAGCTGTAGTACAGTATTCATAGGCTTAATCATGAAGCATACAGTGGCCCCACTTTTAACTCTCTCTTTATATTACCCTTATTGTAGATGGATGCACAGAAGACATGTTTTAATTTTAATAGTAAACCCTTTCTTTGCCAAAAAATAAAGAGTTTAACTCTCATTTGATTAAAAGATAAATTAAACTGATTTATGCCTTTATTTGCACTGTACTGTAAATTACAACTAACTGAAATTTCTAGTGTCACATAGGCCAAGACTAGGGCTGCACGATAAATCGCATGCGATATTTAATGTCAATAGGCTATTGAACTAAGTGTGCCTGTAAAAGGCTATTAGTGTTATAGTTTCATGAAAATATTTGCAGTCTTCTTAACAACTTCTACAATATAGCTACGAAGACAATTAAATTATTTACACTTATGATATACATTTTTTAAGTTAATCCATTGATGTGCATTAGATGATGAATTGAATAGTCACCTCTACTAGTGTAGGTTATGTTTTGGTCATCAGAAAAGAATTAATGAGGAATTATGAATGGTTATGCTATTACACATACATTTCTAACATTTAAATTATTGAAGCCAAATACTTACATTTCCCCAAGCTGTTTAGCTGTAGTACAGTATTCATAGGCTTAATCATGAAGCATACAGTGGCCCCACTTTTAACTCTCTCTTTAGTTTATATTACCCTTATTGTACTGTAGATGGATGCACAGAGGAAGACAAGAGTAAGAAGTGCAGTGTGGGAGTACTACACTCAACCAACACCAGGAAAGGCAGTTTTTGTCAGAGCCCTTGTTATTCTTAATTTTGACATTAATTTTCATTTTTACACCAGACATATATATCGGTTCAAAATATCGGTTATCGGTCTACTTGATATGTAATAATCGGTATCGGCATCGGCCCTGAAAAACACATATCGGTCGACCCCTACTGTACAGTACAACAATTGCAACAGCATACGGATAAGACTCACAAAGCCTGTCAAGAAAATGTGTGAATTAATCACTGTGTAATGATAAAACGTAATTTGTGGCTTACCTTGAGACAGGGGATTCTGGAAGATGTCAGCGAGAGCAGTTTTAATGGGAAGCTGCTGGGGGAGGATGTTCTGCTCAGTGAGGAGCTGCTGGTTTGACTTCCTTTCTCTCCAAAGAGAGCAGAGTTTGAGGGGTTGAGCGCACAGGTGAGTCCCGGGCTGTCAATCAAGGAAGAGGAAGCTGTGCTGGAGCTCCGCCCACCATCCACACAGCCTTTACCACACTGCATCTGCTGCGCCATGTTAGCCAGCTCCTCTTCTCTGGCGTACTCGTCATCAGCGTCAGCCGTCTCCATCGCGATCGAGAACACCTCCGACGCCTCGACCGGCCTCGTCTTCCTCCCCGCCGGGTCTGATCGGGTGAAAACATGCTGAATCTGAGCGTCTGCGGGGCCGCGATGCACCGGGGCTGGTTTCTGTGGGGACGTCTGAGGCCATGACGGACGCTGGGAGGTTCTGCACTGTTCGGCCCAACTGGGAGCGATTCCGGCGGAGTCTCTGGAGGTGAAGGGTTTGAGCGTCTGGCTGCACTTGAGCGCACTGGAGCCGGGGATGATGGGGGCTCTCCGATGTATCCCGGCTGCGATGGAGGTGCGATGCATTGCTGCATTCGCAGAATCGTGAGCGGCCGGCTCTATTTCTGAGTGTGTGGGCAATGATTTCATCCCTGTCCTATTGTGAGTAGCAGCATTGAAGCAGCTGGCGTAAATGCCTGTCAGAATCACGTCGCTGAGCGGGGAGGAAGATGATGGAGAAGAGGAGGATGAGGAGGACGAGGCCTGCGGAGGGAGGAGGTGGGTCACCGGGGGGCCGTGCTGAATGCTCCGCATGGCCCCCATCTCAGCCGTCAGCACCGAGCCAGCAGATGCACAAGAAACATGCTGATGGGACAGAGCATGAGCAGCAGCACCGTTCTGATCGGCCTTAGACAGCTTCCGACGCTTGTTCCCTACCCATGTCTAAAGAGACAAAAGTAGAGAAATGCACAGCCATGAGGCTGGGTTTGAAGAAGTGGATCCATTCCACCAGAAAAGGAGGATTTTTAAACAGTGTCCTTTTTTTCCACACAACTAAAGTGCTGCCCAGCTCCAAACTGGCAACTAAGGAACCGTTAAAGTAGAAGCCCGTGCCACTGAAATACAGGCTTAGCATGAAGAGCAGATTGAACAGATTCGTTTCTCTTAGCACAAACTTTAAGCCATGCCAATGTAATTCTTTAGTTGGCCTTTATTTTTATACTGACTAAAGCCCCGTTCACACCAAGAACGATAACTATAAAGATAACTATAAAGATAACGATATTAGCGTCCACACCAGCGAACGATATCGTCTGTTTATTCTTAGCGCACGTGCGTCTGCCGCTTTAAATTCTCGAGCTCGTTACAGCAGGATGGATTCTGATTGGCCCTCAATTTTTTAACGTTCATCAGCTGGAGAAAAATCATTTTGAAAATGATTCCAACGATATCGTTTCTCTTTGTCTTTATCGTTATAGTTGTGGTGTGGACTCTGCTATTCTTTAATATTGAGAACGATTTTTATAACTATATCTTTATCGTTATCTTTATAGTTATTGTCCTTGGTGTGAACGGGCCTTAATCGTGTAGTAAGCGGGAGGACTTTAAAACATCCATTACTAACATGTTTGCTTGTTTGGACTTGTTTGGCCGCTCGCTAGGAACTGTTACAAGTGAGGTAATAAAGCAATAAGCCCTGTGAAGCCGTGGTTTACAGTGAATTTATAACAGCTAAGGGACGTTGTTAGGTATGACGCGAAGCGGAGTTCACTGTAAACCACGGCTTCACGGGGCTTATTGCTTTTATAAAACGGTTATTCCATATACGTAGTTAGGTTTCACAAAATAAAACAGAGCAAATAAAGTGTAATGATATTAATAAAAACAGTATTCTTCCACCAAACAATGTAGTTCCTCAGAAACAGTTGTAGTTGCAACAAAGTGGTTGCCGAGCAACAGACAAACGTAAACAAAGGTGTATGTTACTTTGTAGAATAATTTACAACAGCTTCGAACGCGGCTCAGCCAATCAGAATCAAGGACCGGAACTCTCTGTTTTATAATAAAGTACTAATAAGCTACTAAAAAGTCAAATCAAAACTTTGTGTTCAATTATTATTAGCCATGTAATAAGCAGGATAATCTACGGCCAGCCTGTTGTCATCGCTAAATAATGTACATTATCCCTTATTTATCTTCTAAAAGATATCGTTTCTCTTTGTCTTTATCGTTATAGTTGTGGTGTGGACTCTGCTATTCTTTAATATTGAGAACGATTTTTATAACTATATCTTTATCGTTATCTTTATAGTTATTGTCCTTGGTGTGAACGGGCCTTAATCGTGTAGTAAGCGGGAGGACTTTAAAACATCCATTACTAACATGTTTGCTTGTTTGGACTTGTTTGGCCGCTCGCTAGGAACTGTTACAAGTGAGGTAATAAAGCAATAAGCCCTGTGAAGCCGTGGTTTACAGTGAATTTATAACAGCTAAGGGACGTTGTTAGGTATGACGCGAAGCGGAGTTCACTGTAAACCACGGCTTCACGGGGCTTATTGCTTTTATAAAACGGTTATTCCATATACGTAGTTAGGTTTCACAAAATAAAACAGAGCAAATAAAGTGTAATGATATTAATAAAAACAGTATTCTTCCACCAAACAATGTAGTTCCTCAGAAACAGTTGTAGTTGCAACAAAGTGGTTGCCGAGCAACAGACAAACGTAAACAAAGGTGTATGTTACTTTGTAGAATAATTTACAACAGCTTCGAACGCGGCTCAGCCAATCAGAATCAAGGACCGGAACTCTCTGTTTTATAATAAAGTACTAATAAGCTACTAAAAAGTCAAATCAAAACTTTGTGTTCAATTATTATTAGCCATGTAATAAGCAGGATAATCTACGGCCAGCCTGTTGTCATCGCTAAATAATGTACATTATCCCTTATTTATCTTCTAAAAGTGCATTCTGTCAGTGTTTAGAAATGTATTAGTATAAAGACGACCTTCAAGCTATTAACACAGACTTAAAAGACTCATTTTTAAGTCCTGATTCACTGAAAATGTCCCCCTCGGCTGTAGCCCTGTGCTGCCACTGAGAGACTTACAATGAAGAATTTAATAGCAATGAAATATGAAGCTTACTTTAAACAAGTTGTACAATGGTTTTAATTCTCATTTTTGAAGCTGTTTTAGGGTTTTCACCAAAAGACCCCAGTTCACATCCGGGTCATGATCGTTCCTCTTAACGCATCCCTGTTTATTTGTCTACAAACTTGGCCATTTTGTAATTATCTGCATTGACCGATCACCAAGCGCACTCGACCCATTAACAGAAGTGATGTTTTGCACGTGTAACAGTTTCACTATTAATGCACATTTTCATGTTTTGGTGAATTTTGAGTAAACATTGTTCACATATAAAATTAGTTTACATTTAATTATCATCCTGCCTTTTATGGGTATCAGTCACTGAAAAACTCATGATGCTCAATCACTAAATAATCTGAAAACAAATGCTAAATGTGACCCCGGAGCACAAAACCAGTCTTAAGTCGCTGGGGTATATTTGTAGCAATAGCCAACAATACACTGTATGGGTCAAAATCATTGATTTTTCTTTTATGCCAAAAATCATTAGGATATTAAGTAAAGATCATGTTCCATGAAAATATTTAGTAAATTTCCTACCGTAAATATATCAAAACTTAATTTTTGATTAGTAATATGCATTGCTAAGAACTTCATTTGGACAACTTTAAAGATGATTTTCTCAATATTTAGATTTTTTTGCACCCTCAGATTCCAGATTTTCAAATAGTTGTATCTCGGCCAAATATTGTTCTATCCTAACAAACCATACATCAATCTCAATTTCAAAAAATTTACCCTTATGACTGGTTTTGTGCTCCAGGGTCACAAATGAATAAAACGAGCAGGCTTACTCTAACCACGCTGAAGTCGAGTTTGGTCTCTTGAGCACACTGCAGGATGAGCTGGAAGCAGCTCTTGCTCTGATTGGTCATGCCGCTCTCATAATAGCGCTCCAGGATCCGCTGCTGCTCGGCGGTGAATACAGACCGCAGGTTCATCTGTAAGGCAGGAGAACGTCATGCACAGAAATGAAACAACAGTACTGCACAGCTAGGAACATCTTATTACAATAAGCAAAGCCATGTTATCATCTGTGGCATAATGTTTGCATTTTTGTTAAAGAGCTTGCATGAATGATCTGGTGAAACCACATCTATTATTGCAGGTTGTAGTGATGGGATGATGAATGTGGAGTTTGCTCCAGTTCTGCGCCACCAGCCTCATCTTACCATAAAATCACGTCACATGTTTTGTGTCTATACTAGGGCTGCACGATTAATCGAATGCGACTGTCATGCGCATTTTGATAGTAATGCCGGTTCTGTAATCAGCAGTAAATCATCATCACGTGCTTTCAGATGGAGCAGAATTTACTACACAG